GTGTGAGCACTGATGGACAGGAAGCTCAGCCATGAAGGAAAAATAGTTTTGTCCTACTTTCCGAGCAGATGAGAATTAGAGAGAGAATGAGCCACTTCCAATTTTAGGTCAATATTTTCACCAAGGGAGAACTCCGAAATACGTATTATCCTTTGGCATGCAGCACTCATGTCCACGGAGGCAGAACATGCTGTGTGACCTTTGACACGTTACTATAACCCTTGGCACTCTGCTAAAATAAAAACCGTTGCCATTGTTTAGATACCAATTAAAATAAATCAAGAGGGGAAACATGGGATGCAAGGTCATGTGCCATTGGCTCTGAAACTACTTCAGCTTGTACATGGCACAGAGGTACATGAACTATTCACTTTTCAGTCCATCTGTTCGTCTGTCTCTCTAGCCACCTATTTACAGACACACACATACAGTGAATGTATATAGAATTCATACGTCCATAAGAAATGAAGGGGAAATGAAATAGTGCAGTTATGCTGAGCATTTATTTATTTATTGATGCAAGCTTACAGTTTTCATCAAGAAGATGGTTTAAATGTGTGTGTCTACACTCACAAGGTCATTGTTAATTAATAATTAATGCCTTAGCGACAGGGCAAGGGATATCAAAGGTTTTTCAGTATACGACTTCTATATACTTTAATAAAAATACCTCACACTGTTTTCGCAAACTCTGAGGACCTCAGCACACTTGTTGCTTAAGCAAAACCCTGACACTTCATGACATGAATAAAAACATAGAAAATTATGTTAGCAAACATGTTGCATGTTTGGAAATAGTTCTAGCCACTAAGAAAGTGTCTGAATGCTCATGATTTGAAAAGTCATGACTTAAAATCCCCTTGAGAAGTCACCAGGTTTTCTTGTTCCCCACTTCCCTGTGCACTGTTAACAACCTTGAATCAAACTATGATGAACTACATTGGAGATGCCAAGAAACAAAGCAAGAAGTCCACAGGTCTCTTTAAAATAACTTGGCCATTTAATGCTGATCATAAGGACTATGTGTACCTGGTGCCCTGAGGGACTTTGATAAACAACAATTCTGCTTTCCTTGTGTTTAGGGAAATAATTGCAGTGTTATAAGTCAGGCACTTATCCAAAATGACCGCCACCTTGGAAGTTATTGCCAGCCTTAGCTATGAATGTCATTGCTTTGTTGGGTTAAATCAGATCCTTCTCACGCTGTTACAAAGCCAAAAGTACCATGTTTTTTGTGAGGATAGGAAGAATGAGAAATATTTGATTTTAAAAAACTGGGTAAAGCTTGCAATAAATGCATGAGCTGTAACAGAGGATGCCAACTTATCTCTGACAAAATATATGCATTCTGACCTCTCTTGGAGCAACACCATAGGAAGGAACAGAAAATGGATTGGTGATGGCATTAAGAAGGAAAGAAGGAAAGTGTACAGTATTTAAGATCCAGTAGGTGCATGTGATACAAGGATTCTTTCCTTCCCAGGAACGCTGGTAGTGCTTCCTAAGGAAGCACAGGCACAGAGGAGTTCGTATGGTCTTTGAAAAGAGCTAAGGCAGCTGACCACGTTCACGGCAGTTAGCAGCGTCTGCCACTTCTGCAGAGGGCTGGGAGCGGCAGAAAGGTGCGCCTAGCCACAGCAACCTGCGGCCGGCAGGTGAGCGGCGGCTCTCTGTACCTGCTGCACCCAACTTTCCCCTCGCTCCCCCGTACAAGTGCCGGCACCCGCCGAGCTCTCCCCGTTCGTTCCCACCCGAGGAACGGCCAACGGCTGCGGGGCGAAGTGCCGACAAGTCCGCGCGGCGCTCCCGGTGACACGCGTGGCCGGGAGGAGGGGGAGGGTCGGGGGCGTCCCTCCCGCCGCGACCGCGGACAGGGACGAGCGGGGCTGGGGGTCCGGGCGCAGCAGCCAGCAGAGCCGAGCCCCGGGGCCGCTCCATGGGTATCCGCCGGTAAAAGGCGTGGGAACGCGGGGAGCGCCGCTCACGGAGCCCATTTCCCACGGCTGTGGTCCCAAACGCACGCGACCCGCGCTTCGCTGGAATCGCACAGCAGCTCTGTCCCCGCCTGGCTGCGTACCCCGCTCCCGCCCCGTCCCTGGGGGTACCCCGGCTCTACAGGCGCACACGCCGAGTGCTGCATCCTCTCCGTTCCCGCTACACTTCATTCATATGTGTGCCGCGATTAAATATTTGATCAAAGGTTGAACGCTAACGCAAGTCGGTTGTATTTTTAATTTTAACCCTTAAAATAGAGCGGTTTGTAGACGGAGAGTGTCCAAAGATTCCCAGCCCTCCCACCCCCGGCCGTGCCGCCCCCCCAAAAAATAATAACGCTGCAGATTGTAGAAGGATTTGAGGCTGCAGCCAGAGAGAAAGGGATTAGGGCGAGAGCGCTGGAAGTTAAATTGTGCTGCATATAAAAAATGGGCGGATTGGTCTCTAGATGAGAGCTTGGTACCACCTTCCTTTCTAAAATAAAATCTCTCTGGCATGAAGTCACAGCCTATTTCACATCCGGTTTACCCTGGGACGTATTACTACTGTCTTGGTAAAGAGAAAGCTTTTGTTGTATAGCGACGGTCGGAATATCGGAATAGAAATTCGGGCTCCCAACCCGGAGGAGCGGAGCGGCGGCGGCGGGCGATGGCCGAGGCGGAGTGAGCGGCGGGGCCGGAGCCGCGCAGCCTCCGCGCCGCGGGCGGGAGCGCAGCGGCGGCACAGCCGGGCAGCGGCGCCGCGGACCCGCGCCCGAGGGGCTCCGGTAAGGGCGGCTGCTGGCACGCACCGCGCACACACACACACACACACCGCCGCACCGCACACGCACACCGCGCACACCCGCACCGCTCCGGGTGCTGCCGGCTGCGGGCACCGCGTCCCGGCGCGCAGGCGGCTGCTCAGCTCTGCTCTGCTCAGCTCTGCTCTCCCCGCAGGTACCGCCGGGTCGGGGTGGGTTTTTCCTACCCCCTCCAGCTCGAAAATCCGCAGCGATCGAGGGGCGTTTTCACATTTCTTTCGTTTATTTACCTTTTTAGCGTGGTCGGGTTTCTACTTGGAAAAGGTGGATGGGTTTGGGGGGGTTTGTTATTTATTTATTTTGCTCCCAGGGAGGCGGTGGGAGGGGTGGCTCGCTCAGGGCGAGGGGGAAATACAAAGTTGAAATGCCAGGAGGAAAACAAGTCCAGATTTGCGCCTCGGAGCCGTGCAAATCTGTCACTGGGGGGTCAAAATGCATCAAAATGTTTTTTTTTTTTCTCCCCCCCCCCCTCTTTTTTGTTTTTGTTTATTTTTTTTTTTTTTTCAGTGGGCGCTGCTGAAATGCTCGCAGCCGCGTGGCTCCTTCTCCCATTTTGAACCGGGAAAGCAGAGCTGGTGCCCAGCGGTGTGAGCCTGGGGAGGCCGGGGGCAGGGGATGCTGCTGTCCTGTGCTCCCTCAAAGTCTACACCGTTTGGTTTTTCCAGCTGTCAGAAACTTTCCTCCTCTAGGATTTATAGCGCCTTTCTGGATTTGTTGTAGGAGGGAATGGTGTGAAGGGCTTGGGGGGAGCGAGCGTGGAGCTCAACAGATCAAGATAGTTCCAAATAATTCACTTTCCCTTCCTCAGCCGGAGAAGCCTTTTGCAGAGGAAGAAGTTGGCGGGACTGGGAGAGGCAATTTTGGAAGCCAAAGATGTTGCCTCTCCATCTATGAGGGGGCTGATCCCAGAGCAAGTTCAGATGCAATCTCGTCCCTGAAAATCTTCCTCCCTGCCTTCCATCGGGCTCCTTTCCACCCAGTCAGATTAGCTCGGCCCCACTAAATGCTTATCTGCCGATCATTTGTCTATAAACGCATTAATTATATCTCGCTGCTTACATGCGGCTTTGTAATGATATTTTATTGATTTAAATTGTCCCTGAGGGTGTGCAGTGAATTGGGATAGCTGTATTTAAAGATACAAGAGCATTTCTAGGCACAGTGCTTTGTTTTCTCAGGCAGTTTAAAAACTCCATTACTGGGGAAAAGATGGGCTCCAGATTTTGTTTATTTAATGTAATGGATGGTAAAAATCAACTGGATTCCAGTGCACTAGGTATGCAAGGGAAACCTGCAGCATCTCCTGGGCAATCAGTTGAATCTAGAACACCAATTCCACAAATGTCAGACAACTTTGTGTTTTATGGCTCATTAGAAAGCAAAAGAAACAATCTGGTTGTGTTACTTTTTACTCAAAGGTAAAGTGAGAATAACTCACTCTGGAGAGAGGACAGGAAACGTTTGGAAGTGAGGAAAAGGTTCTGATGCAAAACCACTTTCCAGCAGCAATCAGAGCTTGCTAGGGACTTAGGAGATGGTGTGTAGGATGTCAAAACATGGTTTCATTGTGAGTTGTGTCCTTTAGCCTGACAAAAATATTACTGTGCATACACAGCAGGAGATCACAGAGTCTGATGATGATACTCCTGTGAAACAAATATTTCAGGGGAGAGGAGAGGAGTCTCAGCCAGAGAAGAAAGTTGCTGCTGCCACACCAAAGCAAAGCAGAGTCTGTGGGGGAAGCACCGCTTTCCTCTGGAGCACAGATACACACTGACACCTTACAGGAGCCTTGGAAGGGCTCAGGCTGGCTCAAGTCAAACAAGAGAATTACACTTGCTTACCTGGAAATGTCAGGAGGTGCCTTGTCAGGAAAGAATGGAGTAAGGACTGTCTCAGAGTTTGGGGACAGCAGCTTGAACTCATAATTACTTTTGTTGAAGTTCAAGAATAATGCAAACAAGAACAAACCCTGAGTGCAACATACATTCCTCTCCAAGCTTCTGTGTGCAAAAGGGGAAGGAAAACAAAATGGCCAAGGCCCCCCTTGGGCTGAATGACACAAGCGCTGGTATTGTGAGGTCACTGTCTGACACCAAACGATTCTGCAAAAGTCGCCTGGATGGGATGGCTTCTTCCCATAGTACCTGCTTTAATGTAGGGGGCACTGACGATTATTTTCCTTTCAGTTTCAGAGCCCACCATGAAGAGACTCCTCGTTCTTTGCGACTGCCTCTGGGCCTGGAGCCTGCTGCTGAATGCACTGACTGAAAGAAGGTGAGGAGATGTTTTTGAATGCATCGACATGTTTTGGGAACCTTGAATTTAATGCGGCAGTGTAATATTGCATGGGCTGCACTACTGCTCAGTGTATTGAGGAAAGTTAATCCCTATTCAAATCCCAGATAAATCTAACTAAGAGAAGATTGAAAGAAAACTGCAATTTGTTTGCATAACAATATATGTTTTTTAGCAGTATTGTGAATAAAACAAAGCAAAGCCTATCTATAACAAGCTAAAGGCAAAGTGAGTTTTAAACACCTATCTAGGCTTTTATATTCTTACAGAATGGCTGCTCAAGAGTAAAACTTTCTTAGAGAAAAAAAAAAAAAACACCTGTGATTAATGGGATTTGTTTTGATTTTTATTTTTCATTTGAGTGCTTGCTCATAACTTTTTCTCCTGTGGGCGCTGCTGGAATGCTCCCAGCCCCGTAGCTCCTTCTCCCATTTTATCCCCAGGGGAAAAGGGAATAGAAGTCATTTTTTGGAGGATTTTTTTTTGAGGATTGTGTTCTAAGTCAGTACCTGTACCTGTGACTCCAAAGCAGACTCCAAAGGAATAGGCAAGCTCAAACCTGACAGCTGAACTATTTGAAAGACAATGTTGCATTGAATTTTTATGCAATGTATGTAAAAGTTTTGATCTAAAAACAGCATTCAGAACAATCAGTAGTGGTACATTATCCAACAGCAAGTATGTTAACTAAAAACTGTAAGGTAGTTTGGAGTATACTGAAGGCTATGACATTCAAAAATGAGTAAAAGGAGTTACGAAGACTGGAAGATACATTTCTGTATTTTGAAAATATCTGTGTATTGTCAGTAGTGCTGCCTCATGACCCAGCAGCAGCTTCAGTTTTGCTGTGTTGAAAGTGATTCCTATAAGATTCATTTGCACCTGGATGTCCACAGTGTCTTCTCACATATGAGCAGCTCTAGATGAGCTTACCTTCTGGTACCTTGATGAATTTCAATAGACTGAAGTGTGCAAAAGGACAAAGGTTCATCTGCACAGCTGTTTTCTCTTAAAAAAAAATCAGAAATAAAAGCAGTTGATTCCTTTACTGTATAGAATAAGTGTGATGTTTTAGAAGAAACGCCTTTGTTTTGATCACATATTAAGAAACGTGAGGTTTTCAAGTGTTCATGAAGTCCTACACCTGGCCTGCCTAGGTAATCTTGTGAAAATGTGTTGAGTTGTTATATCAGTATGTGTACATCTACATGTGAATGTTCATGTGTGTTCTGTCTATAACATACGCAAGTGCATTGCTAATGCGAGAACTAAAATGCATTGGACTAGTGTTTAAAAATTATATGGTGTGTCAGTATTATAATGACCTGTAGATGGAGTTAGTGCACAGTGTTTTATTATACTGTGGCTTAATATGAAACCACAGTCACATACAGTCACTTTTCCCACAAATGTACATATTCTACATAAATTGCATCTGTTTTTAGAGCCATTTTGTCATAGTAACTTCCCTTGCCTTTTCTTCTGGAGTGCTGTTAATTCTTTAAGAAAAAAACAATTGTCAGACAAAAATGTTTGCGATGCAGAAGCACACAGTCCTTCCATATCATTTTTCATGAAAAACAAAACAAAACACAAAATCCAGAACAGCACACGGGCTGCTTTAACATGGGAGTTTTGACTGAAATATCACAGCCCCTGTGGAGCTGCAATGTGCTTGATACGTACACAAATGTTCAGATTCTTCCTGTTGTGACGATGTGTCCATTAAAACCAGCCCTAATGGTGCTCTTTACCTCTGAAAAAATGGTGGAAAGAACAGGTGAGGGTACTGACAGATGCAACAGCCAGGGTGGAAGCGCTGTGTTGTATTGCATCTGCTCAGACTGTGCTGCCTCTATAGTCCATCTTTCTGACAGTGCTTCTGCAAACACACTCAGTTATTTACCCCTAGAATTTCTAAAAATCTTTTGATATCCTTTTGCCACCTTAATTCTGATGACCTTCTGCTATCCTTGAGAGATGTATGTGCAGCAGCTTGTTTAATGACAATGAGTGTTAACAGAGAATGTAATCCAGTGAACATTCCTGTATTCAGTTCTACATAAGACCTACAAGAAAAAATGCTTTACAAGATACTGCTCAAAGGAGACAGCAAGAGAACTTGTTATTTAGTGACATACAGGAAAAAGAAAAGAAAAGCATATTAGCATCTTACAATGCAACTGTGGGTATGAAAAATAAATACAAATCAACCTAATCTGTAGTAAGTGAAATTGTATGATGTGACTAGAAGAAATGCATAGTATTGCCAGCATTTTTAAAAGGCTGTTTGAGATTTTTTCTTCTTCATTAGGAACAGTGATTTATATGCACTGAAGTACCTTGAAAACTGTTCTCCACAAGTCACATACGAGTGAAGTAAAACAATGCTGTGAATGTCAGATCTAAAACTTGTTCAAATATGCAGTGATACTTACTCAAATCTGAACTGCGAAATAGCTTGGAAGCATTTGCAGAGCATCCATACTCAGACAACCTCTCCTCCTCCTTTCTGTTTGATACAATGGAATATCTATGTCAGATATACAAGAATGTCTGACTTCAAAAGGATGCGTTGCTAGATAATTTTGCAGCTACTTTAAGGGGATCAGATTGTTTTGCATATTGGTAATATTCCTTGCAAGACGGCCTTTGCTGGTTAGAGCAGAAGCAACTGTCAGAGCACTGAGAGCCATGTACCACCGGGGTTGTACAGATAGCAAACTGCTGAAAGAGTCACGGCTGTGGCTGTAGCTGAGCTTTACAGACGTTTCTGGTACTGCACTGTTGATCCAGTTCAGTATCAAGCATGAGAAAGTGATGTTCTGCAAAGCAGTGTTTTGTATTTCAGTCATGATCACAGAATCACAGAATCACCCGGGTTGGAAGGGACCTCAAGGATCATGTAGTTCCAACCCCCCTGCCTAGCAGGGCCACCAAACACACACATTCAGATCAGGTTGCCCAGGACCCCGTCCAATCTGGCCTTAAACACATCCAAGGACGGGGCATCCACAACCTCCCTGGGCAGCCCGTTCCAGGGCCTAACCACTCTCCTTGTATAGAACTTCCCCCTAACATCCAACCTAAATCTTCCCTCCTTCAACTTCGATCCATTTCCCCTAGTCCTGCTGTTGTCAGCCCTTTTGAAGAGTTTACTCCCCTCGTGGGTGTAGGTTCCCTTCAGGTATTGATAGGCTGCAATGAGGTCACCCCGCAGCCTTCTCTTCTCCAGGCTGAACAAGCCCAACTCCCTCAGCCTGTCCTCATAGGGGAGGTGCTCCAGCCCCCTGATCATCTTAGTCGCCCTCCTCTGGACCCTTTCCAAAATCTCAATGTCTTTCTTGTACTGAGGGCTCCACACCTGGACACAGTACTCCAGATGGGGCCTCACAAGAGCCGAGTAGAGAGGGACGATCACCTCCCTGTCCCTGCTGACCACCCCTCTCCTGATGGAGCCCAGGATCCCATTTGCCTTTCGAGCTGCCAGAGCGCACTGCTGGCTCATGTTCAGTCTCTCGTCCATCAGGACCCCCAGGTCCTTCTCTGCCGAGCTGCTCTCAAGGACCACTCCTCCCAGCCTGTACGGGTGCCTGGGGTTCTTCCGGCCCAAATGCAAAACCTTGCACTTTGCCGTGTTGAACCTCATTAGGTTCACCCGAGCCCAGCCCTCCAGCCTGTCGAGGTCCCTCTGAATGGCATCCCTTCCTTCCACCGTATCAACCGCACCACTCAGCTTGGTGTCGTCAGCAAACTTGCTGAGGGTGCACTCAATTCCCTCATCGATGTCATTAATAAAGATGTTAAAGAGCACCGGTCCCAAGACAGACCCTTGGGGGACACCACTTGTTACCGGCCTCCACCTGGACATAGAGCCATTGACCACCATGATGACTACACATGTTTACAGTGGAAGTCCTCCCAGCAATGAATGAAAAAAATGGTACTGGGCTTGGCTTTAAGACAACTGTAATCTATGATTAAGGGAATTATCTATGATTGGAAAGGTTTCAGATTTAAGAAAAAAAGTCAATTCTGATGCCTTTTACAGCAGACAGAAACCACTAAGCCCAAGGACTTCGTTCTGATTTGCAATGATGGAAGTAAGATTTTGGTAGCTGAGATCAAAGAGCTTAATTCTGCCCTTATTCAAGCAAAATTTCAGGACCTTTGGCTGAGTTAGAGTAATACATTCAGAATCTGTAAGCAAAGCTTTAGAGATAGGACAGATCTGCTTCGCAAGAAGTGGTTCCATCTGTAAGGAAAAATGGGAGACATTCCTCTGAATGCAGCCACTAGAAGAAAACAGGAAGTAAAGCACGATTATTTACAGATTTGTGATAGTATACCCTCATATGATTTACTTATTTACTCTTGGTGGGATCTTGATTTTGTTTTTTAGCATTTATTTTCAGTTCTTAAATATCAGTGCTCTCACTTTTTTTTAATGCAAATCACTTTGTCTTTCTTAGCATGCAATTCCTTCATTATCTGTTGTAACACAAATGAGCCGTTTACTGAAAACATGTTGGACTATTATAAAGATTACTGAATAATGAGATAAGCATTGAGGAATTGAAGTTATATTTGCTCACCTCACCCTTCATGGAAAGGCACTAGTTTTCTCAGATTTCACTAAAAATGTACAATTTAAAAATAAAATGTTTAAGTGAAACAACCCTATATTGCAATTTCCTGGAGGAGATTTTATGGCCATAAATCAGAATAATCAGGATTAAACATGTTTTGGAATTATTGCTTTGTAAGGTTCCTGATAGCTGTGTTTCAGTTTTAACTGTTGTGTATTTCAGCTATGGACAAACCTCATCGCAAGATGAACTTAAAGACAACACCACAGTATTTACCAGGATATTGGATCGCCTGCTGGACGGTTATGATAACCGCCTGAGACCAGGACTGGGAGGTGCGTTAAAATTTTCAAAGTGTTAGAGAAAAAAACAATTAAAACAATGTTATTTTTCCAATATAAACTTGTTTTCCTTCAATTTATAAATATATATATAAACGTTGATATGTAATGTGTTTTTTTTCAAAAATGCTGTGCTGTCTTCCACATACTCAGTTTTCACACATTTTTGCTTGAAGAAAGAAAATGGTTGACAATTTTAGACCTCTGAATATCTATTAAAATTTTGAATGTAGGAAGAATAAAAGATGTGACCTGACAAATGGCAAAAATTTATGAATCAGACCCAAACAGCACATGCAAACATGCAAAAATCCCACTGACTAAGAGGATCTGGTTTTAAAACAGAAAACATCAATTAACCTTAGACATATAAATGTCTCAGAGAAGTTTATAACATTTTTTTCTCCGTTGGGTATGTCAGGATTTGTTTCTGTAACATTTTGTCTTTGTTGGTAATAATGTCTTTCTTCTGCTCTCAGGGCTGAATCCATAAAGAGTTATAAAACCATATAGCAATTACATGTCTATAAAAATATTCTTACAAACCCTACTCCTTACCAGCATCCCTGCGTTGACTCTCTGATTTGTTTGTCAGAGACATGATCCAAGAACTTGGTCTTAAAAGGTTGATAAAGGTAGAGATTCTAACTGTGCCACTTTTCCTCTCCAGCAAAACAAAAACAAAGCAACACACCCACCCCACAAAGTTTTACTTAACAGATTTCATATACCAGTTCTCAGCAGAACCACCCTGTAAGAAAAACAGGGCACACTGCACTAAGAATTCTTATGTCATCTGCTGCGGTTGAAAGGAAAGATAATTAAAATTAATATTATTCTGTGACTCAAGGCTAGCATCTTGCAATAGCTCTTGCATTGTGAGCCTTCTTCTTCCATGGTTTGACTTCACTGACTTAAAAGAATGACATAGATACAGAGATAAAATTCTGTTTATAAGGGGTCTATTAGGAAAAAACATTCAAAAATGGGTTGGTTTGTAAATTTTTGTGTGCAGTTTCAGATAATATAAAACAAAATAAGAATCACTTATCTACCAGTACTTTTGCTTATTTGCTTGTAAACCTTTGGATTAGTAGAGAAACAAATGCTCTTTAATCTTTGATTAATGCAACTGTAGAATTCAGTAAGCTACTATATCATAGTAAATAAACACAGCACAGAAGGCAGTAAATAAACGAAACTCTGCAAACTGTGTAAAGTCTGGTACACATCTACAAGAAAAATCTGAGAACATGATGATTTCTTGTGAGTTTTGTAGCTGTTAGGATTTACTTTACAGTTACTGGAAGAGTAAACAAAAGGAGACCCAAAGAAAGGAATTTCTCTCCTCTGGATTGCAATCCAGAGATTGGTCACAAGGTCTGCGTAGACCCAGGCCAAAGACCTGTAAGACTACAATTTGCCTTTTACTCAATACAGTGTACATTTGTGATATCAGTACCTCAGAATAAATTTAAATTTGCTCTTCTATTCCTCAGTGGAGAACACTAGAACTAAGTGTATCAAGACCTTTTGAGAATCCCACATCAGATGAAATTCTGTGCAGTAGATTCATGTTTGTATAATCAAGATGTTATAATCACAATATAATCAAGAGAATTAGGCAAAGTAGACAACGATCACTAAAGAGAATAAGTGGAAGAGCTTAAGAGCTTACCCTTTGGTTGAGCTCACCAGAAAACACCAGGAGAGGTGACCTCCAGAAGAGATCCTTCCCCTCTGGTAGCCAGCTCTTAAATAGGTCTAGGAGGGGTGCAGCCAGGCTCCACCCCCTTCCGGCAGCACAGGTGAATTGCCTTCACCTGTGCTCCTCTGGCTGATTCATGGCTCACCTCAGGTGATCAATCAGAAGTTCAGGCCGTGACTCAGCAGTTCCCATACACATGTTTAAAATGCTTGATTCAAAAGACATGATTTTATTCCACAAACTAGAGACATACATGTAGGCCAGTAGTTTTAATTATAATGCCAATTTATAATAAAGGGTTTATGCTGGAATTCAGCTGGAAGTTCAGCTTTTCAAAACATGGTGCCTAGGAAACTCGAGATAATGTAATTTTGATGTATTTCGTTTAGATAATTTGGGGGAATATATTCTGACATGTTCCAGACATAGAAATATCCAGCAAGAAGTGCAAATTTATGTATCAGTACAGCATGGTTTTTGGAGGCAGATGTTCAACAGCCTTCCATTACAGTTTGATCCACTACTGGAAATTCAAAATGTTTGCACTTTCTTTTTTTCTGTGTCTTCTAAGAAAGAGTAAATGAAGTAAAACAATGCATGGTACGGTTACTTTCTCCTATAGAAAGGGCCAAATTGCAGAAAGCTCTCTGCTTATCCCTCTAAGACCTCTCCTTATGTACTACACGTATACATATTCCAAATATATGGGAAACTGAATTACGTACATGAACAGAAACAAAAAAGAGAATGAATTTCTGACTAATTTTGAACCGCTCTTTCAGCATGAGTGGAGTCAGTGCCTGATTAATTTTAAAGCCTCCCTTTTTTAACATTTACTTTTGCGGTATCACCTCAAAATGAAAATGAAGAAATGCATATGCTTTTCAGAGAACAAGGCATTAAATACTATTAGTTGTCAGATTACTTAGTAAGACCATACCTGAAATAAAGTGTATAGCTCTGAGCATTCTGCCATTAAACAAAGAACAAATTACTTATCCTTAGAAAGAATATAAAAATATGGATTACGGGACCCATTGGGAAAAACTGCTGAATAACTGAATATGTGTATTATTTTAAAGAACGGCATTGTGGCTAACATTAATCTCATTTTTCTTTAAAGGAAAAACACAGCATTTCATTTTGCACTGACAAATTTCCACCTGTTATCAATAATCATTGATATAAATTGTGTTATTTAGATGTTCACTAACTGCATATGTGGGCACAGTCATTTAGTCAGACATCACTAGGAAACAGCATCCTTAGCATCCATCCATAAACGTGGACAGATAACTATATTTACAGTTATTTCTGCTTGGAAAATAGAACTTTAAAAATGAATCTAAAAATGTTCTGAATCACACTAGAGGACCCCTATTAACTCTACAAGAGGATACTCATCTACAAGAAGGAAGATGGAGGGATTGTACAGAGTAATGTGCTGAATCTGAAAAGGAGAGAATCATGGCAGACATTAAGAGAAAAAAATTAAAAGCGAAGTCACTTAGGTAAAAGCTTAATTTCCTGTGTGAACTGAATGCATCCTAGTACTAGGAGTGAAAAAGATGTTGCTCGCTTTTCCAGTGCACAGTGCTGAACAAAAGAAAGAATCAGACCGTAATCTGAAGGTGTTCTATAAGGAGGAAAACTGAAGTCAATGTTTGGTGACCTCCCGTAGTAAAATTCTGTATCTATGGTGGGAGTTTAAAAGAATGGAAAAGCAATAAGAAATGATACAAAAATAAGTTTTGTGAATAAATGAATATCACATTGATTTTTGTTCTGGGATGTATTCATGTGGAGAATACATACGAGTCCTAGCTTACTACCATGGCAGGCATGGAGGGCCACAGGGTAGAGAGAGCTTTCACAGGGCAAGTTGTTTGCACCCGGTGCTTGAGATTCAATAACATGATATCAGGTGTAGCTACAGAATTTTTTTAAACTATCATCTTAGTGGTGTACACATCTCCTCTATAAAACTAAATGATATCAGGTGGCCTGTGACCTCTTAATTTAGAACAACTGCAAATGCTACTTATCCCTTTGAGAGGGATTTTGTAGTGCAAAGATGGATTAATATAGAACTAAGAAGAGGTTTGATCAAGCAGGTCAGATAACATCTCCCTAAATTGAATTTGCTTTTATTGTTGGGTTGAGTGGCCATTAGAGCATCCCAAATAGATCACAAATACTACTTTAGTATTGAACAGAATTATATTTTTATAATGTTATCAGTAAGGGATATTTGTTATCTGTCTTTTGTGATGGATATCAACACTGAGTGTGACTGTCCCTAGGTGGAATGTTGGTCCATCTCAGGCAATTCATTACTTCCACAAAGTGCTTATATTTAAAATGACAGAGAATAAACTTGACAGTATTATGCTAAATAGGCTTTAAAATTCAGCTTTTCTAGAACACTGTCTATAAATATATGATAAACTGACCTTTTGGTGATCGTGGTCCCAGTGGAAATTGTTTAATTTAAGCTCACATCTAAACTAACATAATTTCGTGAAAATATGGTTCTAGTCTGTATATGCAATGAAAATTTAGTTAAACTTTATTTATTTCTATTTTAAATGAAAAGAGAGACCTATACTGAAGCTTACTCATAATCCCATAATGAAGAAGCATCAGATACTATACTTCACCCTCTAAGAACTTAAAGGGTTTATTTTGTTTTGTTTCCAACTTTGTAGGTAACTGATGTAAGGACAGTTGTAAACAGAGAAGACCTTAGGAAAATAGCTTTGATACAACAGTAGGGACGTTCTTCCCTATGAGAGTGGTGAGGTGCTGGCACGGGCTGCCCAGAGAGGTTGTGGATGCCTCATCCCTAGAGGTGTTCAAGGCCAGTTGGATGGGGAGCTGGGCAGCCTGGTCTGGTATTAAATGTAGAGGTTGGTGGCCCTGCATGTGGCAGGGGGGTTGGAAATTCATGATACTTGAGGTCCCTTCCAAACCTGGCCATTCTGTGATTCTGTGACTCTGTGGAGGCAGCTTTGAGCTGTTAACTGCTGTGGGGAGAGTTAGCATGTGATGGCGTAGCTGCCTTCATAGCAGCGTGGACTATGGCTGAGCAATGTCAGGACAGGCCATTGTTCTCCATTTTGGTATCTACTTTTGAAGTCCATGTGCAGTTTTTTCTTCAGTAGGAGCAGTTTACACCATACAGGCATCTAATTCCCTTTCATTCAAAACCACAGGAAGACTCTTCTCCATTTTAATAATTATAGCACACACTTAAACAAGACATGCAGGGGGAGCAGGTGCAGAATCAAAAATAAGGAAATTAATTTAAAATACGAAAATGAGTAATTCTGATAAGGCTTGTGTTCATATACCAGCAGGTGAGAAAGGGAAATAGTTAATGTATAGTTCTCTATGATAAATGGGCTTATTTCATGCTGTTAAAATCAATCTATATTCCTTATTTTGTTCTCAATTTGTAATCCAGTCACAATTCTAGAAATAATAACCTCCCTGGGAATTTAAATCAAAACACTTATTGTTTTTACGTATTAATTTAAAGCGTTTATCCTAGCATCATTACCAAAACACAGTGGTTGTAAGCAATGACAGTAGTTTACACTGACTGATGCTTTCGTAGGCATATCTGGATCAAAATAATTTCCCCCTGATATAAACTAGTTTATTGCTTGATGTTGTGTTCTGGTGCCTACATGTTAAACACAGTAGTCATTTTGCTGACCAGCTGGACCTTACAGTGTACATCATTAAACATAATGTAAAGCTAGTTGGTCACCAATAATTTACTTTTTATTTTATTATTATTTTTTAATGGAATTACACGATCTACAGATATCTTATCAATTCCTGGTCCAGGAAAAAGATGTTATAGTCAAGAGACATGGCCAATGTATTCACAATGGATGGATTTATCCTCAGCAGTAAGATGAGCTCCTGGCCTGAACTTGTTTTGTTCAATAGCTTAGAATTTTCTCTAGTTCTTAGGGACATTGTAAAGATTTTGAATATAGATCAGGATTTGAAGTTCTTGAAACAAATCTCAGTGCATTCTGAGCATTTGAAGCACAGTTAAGCCTTCCCATGATATTCAAGCTCTAAACAGAACATGGTTAACCTTGATTCTAAATATACATCCTAACTGTATGCATACAGTAAACGCATCTTCTGTGCAGGAGTGACTCACAACGTTTGAAGCTCTAAACACAGCACAGCTGAATCATCTATTTAGTAAAACAGTAAACAAAAATTTCAGAACTTCCACATAGATTTGGAAGGGCTAATTTATGTCTTCATACACATTTCCACATTTTTATCACTCCTCTTGAAAATGTGGTACATATCAAAGGAAAAACTAATCATCTGATGATGTGCACAGTGGGTTTTTTTTTGGATTTGAGGAGGACAGTGATTAGATGGTCTGTAAAAGTCTAACTGGTATGATGGTAACAGTCTGTTGTGATTTCAGAATCAAATTTTTCTATTACTAATTATGAGTTTTCTGTCACTTAAATTATCTTTGCTGCAGTATAGAAATGAAAAGCACCACTAATTTTCTATTTATTTTCTCAAAAACTTTCCATCTTAATTTGGAAGCCTTTAGTTTCCATTTTGTTTCCCCAAAATCATTTCCTTGAACTTTAACCTCCACACATGACCATATGTCTCCTAAATCTCTGAGTTTATATTATTAAGAATGAATTCCTTGGGGCTGATTCTGAAGAGCTTCCAGCATCTTCTGTTTCCTAATGACACTTGTGGGAATGCCTCAGTAGAAAGGAGATGGAGAAATGGCAAGTCAGAATGAAGGATCTTTTAAAGAGTTAGAGATTTGCTTTTCAGTATACAGAAAGCTAATAGATCTTATGATGATAGTAGATTCTCAGTCTCAAGAAAAGATGATAAAACATCTGTAACTTAAAAAGTGTACTCATGAGTGTCTTACTGGACCTTGTGAAAACTATGTCTTCTTTTTCTGCTGGCTGTTTCATACCAGACCATAGATTTCACCTCTTGAACTTTGTAAAAGTGATGAGTTGAAGGAGAGAGCGCTCTTCTTCCAAGCCAAGTACTTTCTGGATAACCGTATGCTTCTTCCCGTAATAGAAGATTAAATTCTCACTGTGGATTTCTTTAAGACAAGAGTCAATTAGATGTCAAAAGAATCCTTAAATTTCTCTGAGTCAGTTGAAAAGCTTGTAAACAGTGATAAGGTCATGCCTTCATTTCACTGGAGAGCCAAGTAGGAAATTGCACCTATCCAATGGTTTTGTCAGATTCAAAGAACCAAAAGAGCCACCATTAAGCAACTCAGCCACATCACAGTACTTTACTTTCTGTAATTACAAATAATAAACTAGAAATTTCATCCTTCAGTTTTTCCAACGAGTGCTACAGATTTCCTACTTCCTGATTTTTGAACTGATTTTCTAACAGAATACAAGGGTCATTCAGTGCATTACAGAAATGATGGTAGAATGAGAAGCAATTTTATATTCAGATTATTGCTATCTTACAACGAGAGGCATTTTTTTTGTATAAAGTTTTTTATTAAAACTATTAAACATATATATTGACAAGTTGTAGAGCTTTCAGAATGCAACTGAAAACCCTATGTACACTGTAGAACACTGACTCTCATTAGAATTTTTGGGTTATACATGGAAGTGTATATTGTTTTTAAACATATTTCACTTTTCTTTGTGTAAGAACTTCAATTAATCTTGTTTGTTTCCAGATGCAAAAAAAAAAAAAAAAAGAACAAAAACAATGAAAAAACCACCACCAACAAGAAAACACATCTGAAATGTTTTTCAAATCAGAGGATTCTATTAATTATTTTCATCTAATTTTACAATATTTAATAATATATAGATGTTATAGATCTATATATGTTTCTTAGTCTTATGACTTCTTAGTCAGTTTTTGCTTCGCTGCATGACCTTTACTTTCTGTACATGTACTTTTCTTTTAGCTTCTTTAAAATTAGTTTTAGTGTAGCAGATTTCACACATTATTTATTTTATTTGGAAGTTATTTGAGAAATGCATATCTCCTTCCACATTTGAAATTCCTAAAACAAACAAACAAAAAACCACAACAAAAACAAAAAAAACCCCAACCCACACTGGTTTCTATAGTGCTCATAGTAAATAGTAAATATTCTGAGATCACTCTGAGAGCTGATGGGGTTACCCCCACTCAACACTGTTAGGATGTATGCCTTCAGGTGTTGTTATTCCCTGCAACTATATTTAACTCAAGAGAGTTATTTTGATACTTGCCATCCTGGGTGAGCATTTTCTGATGTGTATCCTAGAAAATACCAGGATGCTCAGAAGTGACTGGTAGTCTGAGTACAGGGGGCAGGGAGAGGAAGGAGAGAGATGCAGTTTGTGAATTTCTTAAAGGAACTTTAAACAGTGCATCCCCATAAGCCAAATGTTTGGTTCTGTGTGGAAATCAGACAGACATAAAAAAGATATAGTAGAGAGGTTGAGATTATGTTCATTTGGATAAGTTTTAACTTGTTTTTGTTTCTCATAATCAGGACTAATGAAGCCATCTCATGCAAAAAATAAATAAAAATTTTTACTTTTTTATACACTAGAATGTATTTTATCTCTCTCTTTTTTCTGTGTTTCTGTGTCTCAGCACTAAATGCATAATTCATAAGCCTGGGGTAAATTATTAGAGACCTTCAATCAGCTTGCCCAGCAGCACTGGGTACCCAATAAGACTTTTAAGAGTAAAGTGTAAAATACCTGGCACTATCTGTATTGTCAGACAAAAACCTTTAATAGTCAAAGAGTGACAGGATTTCTACAACAGCAGAACTATGTCTGCTGTTTCAGTACAAGTCATGTCTCAAAAAGTCCCATGGAAACACGACAACAAAAAAAAATGTTGCTGACAATATTCACTGTGAAATTACATTGAGAAGCAATAAATTATCAGGACTGTATTGTAGACCAATTTTAGAATTGCTAATCAAAGCCAATAATTTTTCTATTTATTGTGAGAATTGGTAATGGTTAGATCTAATGAAGACTGTTGATAGACACTCACTGTCCTAATTTCCTGCTTCATCAGAGCGTGTAACTGAAGTGAAGACTGACATCTTCGTCACCAGCTTTGGGCCTGTTTCAGACCATGATATGGTAAGTGATGGCCTATATTTCTAGAGCATTCATTTTCTCTTGTCTTTTTAATTTGAAGGATGGAGGATGTAAGCAATAACTTATTTACTACTGTTTGGTTTTTTTTTGAGCACTTGATTCCAAAATGCTGTCAGCATTTATGTGCAGTGATTCCTGCTAGCTGTGACTGCATTTAAGTGCCCTGAAATTAGCATCCTCGATGACTTTAATAATGTATTTTAACAGACCTTATATTTGCTACCTAATATATTATGAAATGCATTAAGGTTTGGATCAGTACTCTTCTGAGAATGATTGCTCAGGTCCTTGCTGGCACATCATTGATCCAATTTGCTGAGAAAGATCATAATCTTAAAATGCAATTAACACTTGTGCTTACAATGTGACATCCATACACTCTAACCTGTATTTTTATATTAAAAGCTACTGATCAATGGGAAGTGAGTTTCTTCGAACTTGGCTGCTGAAAGAGAAGAGAAGATTAATGAGAGAATTAGTGTCACTTCTTTATGGCATGAATGTGAAAATCAAATTGCCAGATAACTGCAGGGGATTCAGAAGTTCAGAAAACTGAATGAAGATGTTGCGATCCCTGGTCTTAAGAGATAAAAAAAAATGTGTAAAAATATGGATAAAGTACTTTAAATTAAGCATATAAATGAGATCTTCATTGCTATTGACAGGGAAAGCCTGGTTTGCAATTACTAGTATCTGTTGGATCCTGTATAAAGATGAATGCTGAAAACAGCCTCATTAATTTAAATGGGGGGGAAAAGAAAGAAAATTCAGTCTTGTTACTGCCTGCATTTAACTAGAAGCATTCACAGAAGAAAGAAAAAATAAGAACATGTGGAAAAAATATCATAGGAAGTTCAATTTATCTCTTCAAAATTGTCATTTGTTTAATCAAAACTGAAAATGCAGATGGGCCTTAAACACCAGAACGACAGAGCAAGTAACTCTTCTGAACTACTTTATTTTCATAAAAGAGCTTTATGCAAAGCCACCATTTTCCTGACTGCTTGGATGACACTATTTATAAAACTACAATCAAAACTGTATTTCCAACTCACACCATCACATTTACATGAGAAAGAAAAGCTTGGACTATTTCCACCTTCTGCTAGGAAGTCCTGAAATCAAAGGGCAATCCAGGGAAACAGTCACACTGATGACTTGTCTCCTCAGTTCATGTATGGAGTGCTGTGTCTAAGTACTATACCATGAAGAAGAATTCAGAAAAATTCAATAAATTACTCCTGCACTTTTTTAAAAAATGTTTTGAAACACAATTCCTAGATATTGGTCTAAATTATACATTAAAATGTGAGGTTTTTTTTTTAATTAAGAATTGCTTCTGAAATCTAAACTTCTTGCTCTGGTGATTGAATGAGCAATTTTTGCTTTTCCAGTTCAGTCTGGAAATAGATAACCAACCATGAAACTAAATGAAAACTTCAGACACAGTCATGGGTCTAATACACACTTAATTTTTAGCGTTGAATTAAAATTGCAGCAGCTGTAGCTTGTGAAGGCAGTTGCTTGATTTTTTTAGAGATCTGTCTTTTTGGGAGGTAGATAGTTAAAAATTCCTGAAAATTAAACTCCTTTGAAGTATTAGAGTGGACACAGATGCTTGGAGGAGGTGAGAATAAAAAGAGTACTAGATACATGCTGGTGAAAACACAAGGTAACACTTGTTAGAGTTACCTGACCAACCTACTGTATCATCTGTTGAGTCAGATTTACTAGGAAATTCAATTAAGGAGCAGCAAGTTAATAGGCACTGATGCTTTCCTACTCACAGACATAAATTTAGAGCAACTAGTGATCCTTCTATATTATTTGGGAATAGTGTGTCTGGACTTCATTGTGTACTTACAGTTGATAGTTTCAGATGATTTCATTATTGAGTAGAAGGTAAAGCTCATTTGATGTTCCTGGGAAAACTAATATTTGCATAGGATTTGGGTTTCTGGGGTAAAATATTGAAGTAAAAAATAATCTACTTTCAAAATTACAAATAAGTATACTTGGAAAAAAATAAATTGACCTCAGTATAGCTGCATGATTATAGCATAAGCAATCACTGCCAAAAAGCAGACAGGCAGGTGTTCACAGATTTTGAAAAGCAAGAGACCACAGAAAAGGATTTAGTGTAATACTCCTACTCACCTCGCATAGAAAGTAATGTGTGTACAGCCTACTTATGCTAACTCTTCTGCTTAAGGAAATGTGTGAAAATGAGAGAAAAACATAGAGGGAAAGATCAAATGAAGAGCTTATCCGAATATAAATTCATGTTAATTCCATGCACATTTAATGCAAAGCCTTCTGTGCATGCTACAAGTTGACTGTGGACACTATCTTTTGAGAGCTACCCCAAATTTGCTCCAGTGAGCAGAATGACAGCATTGACTGGGTTATGGGATCTGGTCACAGGAGGGTCTCACAGGCATCTGTATTGGCATGCCAAGGGGATGGTGCACTGCTGTCTGAGCCTAGACTGATGGCTTGAGGCTGGGAATGAGCTATTCCAGCTGACGCCATATGTTATAAAACTACAGCCATAGTGAGACACCAGCATACCTAGACCATCTGTTTTCAGGAATCCAGTGAGGCAGTTATATAGATAGTAGGTTGATATATCAGGCAGAACATGGTGTTCCTACCCACTCTCAAGACACTCTTTTAAGAACAGCATAGACATAACCTGTTATTCTATAAAAAGAATGCCTTCTCTCCATCTTAAACCTGTGAATAAAGTTAAACAGGAGAAAAACACCTTTGGAAATAAAAACATCTAATCTTGGAAGAACCTCACAGATCTTGAGGCACGATCTTTCAGATGGTAGATTGAACTAATAAGCAGATAACTGCTTATTCTCACATAAGTGTCATTTTTTTGAAATTTATCTATGTATATATATTGTCTGGAATAAGAAGCATTTACAGTAATTTTGTTCATAAAAAAAAAAAACAAACACAGAAATAAGCCAACAACAGAGTTTTCCCAGTAAGCCTTCATTCCCACTGCTTCTCTACTGTATGCTTTTTGGGAAAGAATTTCTGCCTTTGTACCTTCCTATATATCACCTAGTACAATACAGACCATGTTGTGGTCTACCATGTACATAAACAATTTCCAGGGAGAGAGAACAGATGAGTGGCTTAGAGAATGTATAAAGTACTAAAGATTTCCTGCCTGAATCTCTCATTTAGGACAAAGTACTGTAAATATTCAGTACTACACAATTCATTGGCAAAGTGCAAATAGGAATCTTCTTTCTTTACTTGCATGCTAAGGATAGAAGAATCTCCTCTGTGGAAAATTTATACTGAATTTTATCTTGCTCACCCACTTGCACATAAAACAGTGCTATAGAACACGGTTTCTTCTGATGGCACTCTGTGGTGGAAGAAAGCTATAATCAGAGTAAGAGTTATCTGATGACTTGATCTTAAAGATCAGCTGTCTGTCGGGATTCATTTGAGGAGAATTATTGTACATGTTGAAGCAGGTAGTGAAAGCTAAGGGGGTAAGACAGCTCAGCCAAAATGGTTTATGGCGCAGCAGCCTGGGATAGAGAATGATGCAGTTTACGCCAGGCAAGATCTGTCAGCCCCTTTTTAACTGAATCTTGTTTTCTGCTGTCAGATTCCTTTACCAAACCTTCCAGACTCTTTGTTCTTTCAACATCAGAATACTATGCTCACATAAACGGAATACCCATACTCACTTCTCTAAACCTGCACCACCTCCCACCTTTTGCAGTTGCAAGAGAGAATGAGTGGCTTAAATGGCACACTGAAGTGGGATCCCCATCTGGGCACGTCTTTTACTCTTCCCATGCATGTAAGAAGAAATCCTTGGAGCTAAGGAAATACAGTATTTTACTGCCTTTTATACCTCCTCTATTTTCTACTCTTCTACACATTTGGGACAATATCTTGCACAGGATTCAACCTGAGGCTCTGATCCAGCAGGGTTTTGAAGGAAGATGTGGCTAAAAGTGCACAACTGCTGTCACTGGAGCTGAACAAATCCAGCCTCCAGCAGCACACTGAGCATGTGATTAAGAAAGTGAAAATGCTATTATCTTTGCAATTAAATATGCATCAACGTGATTCACAGGTCTCAGATGAAAACACCACCAACAACAAAGATCATCCCCTGGAACTACATTTTATTGTCCATAATAAACTTATTTAGGTGTTTTGAGCCCTGAAAACAGGAAAAAAATGCCACAAGACTATCACCATCAATACTTGCTCATAGTTGCTTATGTTGTACAATGCTGCCATTTTTTCAATAAAAACCAGAAGTCTAAAGGAGACTGCAAGAGAAAGATTTTAAATGTTCACTCCGCAATGTTTCTCTTTACTAATATATTCCTTGGGGAAGCTCTTTTACTTGTAGCACTGTGTGCCAGAAACATTTGCCTTCAGGATTTGCCATCAATCATTGGCAGGAGATCTCAGAAAAGGTTCCATTTCTCGGCCAAAAGATTATCATTCAGGGTAATTTGAACAGTGTTTGGATGGCTGCTTTTGACATTTATCACAAAATCATAATCAAGAATGATGGAAGGGCCAGGGTAATCCCATATAGCACTTCACTTTGGGATTGGGTATTTCCCCATGTAAATATTACAGTATACTGCATCCGCAAGACTTTTCCATATTTTCTCCCATCCAGTGTGAAACTGTTCTGTGTTTTATTTAGAAAGCACCAACATATGTTTTCTAACTTCACCCTCTGCCTCTTAATTCCTAAAAGAAGGAAATTTGTATGAAGTCAATCTTCAATTTCATAATGAATGTTGGTTATTTTGATTCTCCCTGTATACACTGAACTCAGCCAATACATCTCTTCCCTATTGCCCCACACTATAACTCTTGGTCCAAAGTTGTCCTCATCTTGTTCTCTCTCTAGTGCAATAATTTAGACTCTGAGCCATTTCATGTCCCATAAACCAGACCACATAATTTAGTGAGCCATGAACTTTTCATAAGTTGACTGCATGTTCGTGCTAAAGAGGCACCTAGAACAAAAGGCTCTGATAAGATCCTGTCTCACCAGCCTTGTTTTATTCAAAGAGACAAATTCTTCCTGTGCTATGCACAATGGTTCAGTGTCTGCAGATTCAAATTACAGTTCTATGAAAGGTAAAAGTGAAAGGAGAAAGGGGCGGATTATGTAATTTCCTATATCTTATATCTTCAATTCTTTCTAACTTTTCATATGCCATTCTTCCTAACATTTACTCTGTTCAGTACAGTAATGATGTTGTAGCTGCTAAATAACCAGCTTCAGATACATTGTAAGTAATTTAGAGAATAAATGTTCTGATAATTACTAATTTCATTAATAGTCTTGCTTTAAGGGAACAGTAAAATTATGATTTCCAAATTCCTGTGTTGCAACACATGGCAGTATTACCTTTTCTCTTCTGAATTGGTATAGGAATACACTATAGATGTATTTTTCCGCCAAAGCTGGAAAGATGAGAGATTAAAATTCAAAGGACCTATGACTGTTCTCCGGTTAAACAATTTAATGGCCAGCAAAATTTGGACACCTGATACCTTTTTCCACAATGGAAAGAAGTCAGTGGCTCATAATATGACGATGCCAAATAAATTACTGCGAATTACAGAGGATGGGACACTGCTGTACACAATGAGGTGAGCCCTCAAATATTTTATCTTTCATTTAGTTTGACAATTTAAGTAGGTAAAGTTATTTTCCAAACAGGAAGCAGGTTCCTTTTTGGGGATTATTTGATTCTTGTTTAATAATCTTTTCCATGACATGTCCAGGAATGATGGACAAAAAGGCATTTGCAAGTGTTTTGTTTTCCTTCCACTGTGCTACCTTTACACATGCTGCACATTTCTTAATACCTGATTTTGAGAAGGTAGAAGGCCTAGAGAGTCAGGAAACAATCAGTTTGCGGAGGACATTAATTTTGAGTTGCTTTCAAGGATTCCACCAGCAAAGTAGAATTACGGAATAGTTAGGTTCAAAGGTACCTTAGACATCACTTAATTCCACATCATGCTCCGGGACATCTTCCTCAAAACAAAGTTGTCCAAAGCCCCATCTGATGTCACCTTGAACACACTGTAATTTTTTGTGCTTTTTGGGAATCTGAGAATCTAAAAATTTATTATTCCATTTGTAAAAAAAAGAACATTTCACTAAAGCATTTGAAATGTTTGTGGGTTTGTTTTGCTTTGTTTTGGTTTTTGTTTGCTTGGTTTTGCTTGTATTTTTTTTTGTTTGTTTGTTCTGGGATCATTCTTATTGTTAATATATTCTTTTTATGACAATAATAACTTGAGCTAATCAGTTGTAAGCAGAGGTTGTTATTTCAAAACAATGATGATGCACAGTGGTGGAAATGTTCTGAATTGAAAAGAACCATGAACTGAGCAATGAAAGAAATAACACGTTGTCTCTACATAGCTATATTTATGTGACGCTTTTGTCTGGAAGTCAAGATGGGTAGTTCAGTAAGTAGGTGAACAGTGAGCTTTCTTTTAACAATTCTAAAAATATTTTTAAAAGAGTACAAGTATTTGGAGAAAATACAGTCTCCAGACATTTGAGAGCTTACCAAATATATTCAGTTTGTTCTGAAACATCCTTCAAGACTGCCAAGGCTAGGGTACAATCTGGTTGATTGGTACTTACACAAGTCTAGGTCAGTTTTTCTTTTCTGGCAAAATGCTTGTTCAGGAATTCCCAAGAACACTACCTTGGTAGCACACTGTTCACATCTCTTTTTTGAACATAACAATTTCTATTTCCTCATATTTGTAAGTGTCTTAATGCAATCTTTTGCTTGGCATTCAAGTATTGCAGTCCATTCCTTGCTGACTTGTGTGTGATATGTGATAGTTTGAGGAAATGTTTTTAGTTTATTTAATTTCTCATTCTAAGCAACATGTTGCTAGTAGCAACAAAATGATTTCAACAAATGTTTCAGCACTCGAAACTGGACAATTTTGTGATGGCAGCATGGAAACAATTTTGGTTTCTGAGATTTTACTCCTTACACCAAGTTAAAAGTATAAGCCTGTCTCTGCTGTACAATCAGACATGGTAAAGAGCAGTCAGATTCACTGCTGTGTTTACAAAGGTCTATCTGCATTCTGAGACAGGCCATTCAGGTCCTGCTCTAGCTGCTTACTAATCACATAACAGATGATAGACTATTTTATGCGTCTTAATAGAAGTCTATTTACTATTTCTATGAAAGTAGAATAAATATGTGTTTTTGCTCATTGATCCATTATAGATTGACTGTGAGAGCAGAATGTCCAATGCATTTAGAAGACTTTCCTATGGATGTGCATGCTTGCCCCTTGAAATTTGGAAGCTGTAAGTTTATTTTTAAATTGAGATTTCTCCATTTTGAGGCCACTCTATAGGCATACTGCACAACTGAATAAACGTCAAGGTTTTAATTTTGGGTACTTTTAACTTAACAGTAGTCTCATTCTTACATATGTTTGTATTTCATAAAATGAATAATTCATAATATAGTGAATAAGACATAGAAGTGCCTTAAACACGTTCCAGTGTCATGCCTGGACATTCACAAAGGAGAAAAATGGTATCATCCTTAACTTCTAGGGAAGTAGTTTGTCACACACAAGATGTTGTTAATATTCGGGTTACTTTTTTATTGTTTTTTTGAAGTCACAAAGTCAGTTTTAAACATAAGTAATACAGTGAAGACAGTGACAGTGAAGACAGTGAATAATTCAACTGGTATAGGTAAAAATAATTTTCCTACCATGATTTTGTATGTTTAGAACAAAATTTCATCTAAGATTACAATACCATTCATATTTCAGTCATGCAGCATTTCTCAAAGTGGAAAATGTCACAAAATTCCAAAGAGAGATTGCAATTTGCAACAGATTTAACCTTACATTAGAGAATGCACTAAACAAAACATAATATAATTGAAATCAGAGTAATAACTGACAGCACTTCAGATAACTTGAGAATTTCTCCCCCAAAACTGAATTGGAGTAGCAGCCCACATGACGCTGATGGTTAAAAGTTTACTAAACTTGTTATTACCAGAAATTAAATAAGGGGTCTGCTCTGAAAGTAATGCCTCCTCTTTTGCTTCATTCGCCTGAAATATCAGAGATAGATGTTGGTGAGATGGCAGCAGAGGTTGAACCTTCCAACAAACCTCCCATTCCATTTTCTTGCCATGTGACAGATGGCAGCACAGGGACAGTCTGACAAAATGGCATCTGACATGGAAGCATGTATGAAGCAAAGCTGTGTCAGTGAATTCCTCCATGCAGAATAAATGGTACCCATTGACATTCACTGACACTTGCTGAATGTTGTTGGAGACCAAATAGTGATGTGAGCACAGTGAGGCAGCATGTCAGCAGTGGCAACAGTGTCAGTGGGTCACTTGCACAGGTGCAGGTCTTTATGAGCAGAGCAAGTAGGCTTTTGTTCATCACTGGCATAAATGGATAGCTAATGGTAGCAACTACATTGAAAAACATTGTTTTATAGTTGAGAATTTGCTCTATCAAATAGTGTTATTGTGGTCTTTGTATCTGTTGTAGTTTCCATGGAAATAAAAAGGAGGCATTACTTTTGAAGTGACCTACTTTCAACCCCTGCTTAAATTCTGAAAGGAAAGGGGAAAAAAAAGTGAAGATCTGCTTTATTTCACTCAGTTCAACACAAACTAGGAAGATAAAATGTGTGGAAAATACAATATTGTACAAATTGTTTTCTCAGTGGCAATTTTTTTCTAGTAGAAATGGGTCGTTTCACTGATAATGGGTACTTAGTGACTAGATCTATTTTAGAAGCCAACAAACAAAACACCCAATTCATTCTTCACATGGTCCCAGACAGGATGATGATTTACTTTAGACTGGCTACCTCTATGCTTACTATGAGAAAGCACTGGTGTTTTCTCTTTAAAGAGCTACTAGCCTCCTAGATACAATTTACAGAATAGAATCTTATACAAACTTGAAGTATAACTGACAGGAATAGCTTAGTACTTGAATGTCAACCTTTCTTACAGCAATTCCAATAAACCTTTTGAAGTTTCCTGTAAATCAGAAAGGGGAAAAGAAGTCGTAGTCTGAATTATATATAGATAGATGCAATGGATCTTTGATCAATGACAGCATATCTGTGCATTTGGGATCACCTGGGATCCCACTTATACTAGAAGCAGTCACGGGACTGAATTTCTTTTGAAATGCAGATTGAATGTATGCTGGATCTGGAAGACAGAAAGATGGATAAGCATGCATAAAACCTTCTGATAGAAAGCTAAACCATCAACAGTTTTTGAACAAATGTGAACTAGCAGACTGAATTTTTGTATACTTGATGTCTGTCAGCATATCTGTGTATCATTTAGCCACAGCCTCTAACATCAGACACTAAAGTGCGAACAATAGTTTTCATTCTTTTCCTATACTCAGCTATTTTTGGCTCAGTGTGTCCCAGATTAGAGTACTCTTGGCTCAATGAGTGTGTGGTTTTCCAGATTAGTAGGGATCTTGCCTTGATTAAATGATGAAGAGATAAAGAAATTATGCAAAGGATAGATAATACGGATGCAAATACAGTTCTGGAATCACAAGGTGAAAACAGGACAGCAAAAATATGTGCTTGTAGTTCTGAATATCATTTGTATCTAAATTTGTTTCCATTTTATTCTACAATACATTTTTATTATCATATTATATATTATTTCCCTTGAATTAACTAAAGGATAGTCTAAACTAAAACTAAAGGACAATCAGTGAGTGTTATTTCTAATTGAAATATCATTTAATTACCCTAAATTCATAGGTGATAATTAGTATTCCAGTCTCAGAGTGTGGGTTATTTTATCGCACAAACTATTTGCAGTATTTTTTCCTTTTTGAACACAAACTGGCTATTATCATGCCAGCTGTCCCAAACGGGAGCTAACAAAGCAAGTGCTTCCAAATGATGGGAAGTGTTGTGAGACAAGATCAAAGCATTTTCAGGGAAACTGTATTCTCCTAATAATTTTAAAGGAGCTTATAACGTGGGGTAGTGTGTTCTGCAGCATGCTTGTACTGCAAACACTGCAGAGGAATCCACTATCCAAAACAGAACCTTAAATCTGGACCTCCCCCATCCATCTCATTAGATTATATAGCATAATTACCAGATTATAAAGTATTTCTGTCTCAATATTTGGTTATTCATAAATAGAAGTCTCTCCAACTGGACAAGTGGCGAGACTTGGACAAGTTATGGAAACAGGTCTCATAGCTGTACATATGAAAAGAGAATAAATTTACTCTTACAAATAGAATATATTTTATCTCAAACTTAATTGCTGCTTTTTCAGTGAGAGCCACCTTCCAATACATTTGGGAGATTCCCTTCAGACAACTAAAGCAATTCATGAAATTAATCTTAATGGACTGAAGAATTTACTGAAAAAGACCTTTAATTGTAATGAAAGCCACTTTTTATGTGCAAATTGCAATACTAGACTTAGTAGCTCCCCAAGGTAGTGTTTGCTCAGCCCAGCAGTATTTGTTTTGAATTAAATTGGATAAGAGTTTTTCCATGTCCTCCACTGTTACCCATCTCTTGTTGGAACTGGATTCAGAGAAGCCTAATACTGAAGGAGTGCCACATCTCCCATGGACTCTGCCTGTACTGTAGAGGCCAGTAAATGCTTGACCCAGCTCCAAGGCTAAAATGATTTGCCAAAATAGCAGCTTAAGCTAGAGGTTATTCCAATGTAAATTCAATGTGACAAATGCTAAAGAGGCTTCTGGAACAACAAAAAGCCATATGTTGGCATAACAAAATCAGAAAGGCAGCTGCTGTCCTCAACTCTTTCCACAAAAATCTGATTGTTCTCAGTTCTTCCCACAAAAATCTGATTGTCAGTATAAAACGAAGGCAACTCTGCAAAGCAATAATGAAAGGAACAAAAGAATATGCTGCTACTTATGCAATATGTCAACTGGATCCTGAAGATAGGAGGGGGAACACACCATCCATGGTGAAAATGGTGAACCGAACATGGCTGGATGGCAGCCACTGGGCAGGATAGGGCCCATTTCCAGCCCTGGTGAGTGTGCTGCCTTCCCTCTGAGTTCTCACTCAGTGGTCCTCAGCAGTTCAAGAAATCAGCCCCCTCTCACAGACTTCATGTGTGCTCCAGAGCAAGTAAAATGTTTCTAAGCTGATTCTGTCCCCTTTTCTTTATTTGGCTAAAATAGCAGACAAACCCTTGTAATTACTGTGGCCATTATTTTTAAGGTCAGAATTATAAATAAGTACATTTGCATTTACAGTTGCTTCCAAAAGAACGATGCATATGTTACAGTGCTTGGGGAATATGAAGTCTGAGGGCAAAAGCAACCTTGCACTTCAATAATGCAGGATCAAATGCCATGCAATTAATTTACCAGTATGCTCCATCTAAAACCACCTCTTCAATTACTGTTATCTCTTACACTGATAAGATAAAATTATTAACTCACAAATGAGGTCAAGTGAATCAGATTCCTCCTTTCCCTTTCCTGCTTACCAGGTCTGAAATGTACAGGGAAATTCTCATCTAGGAGGTAGGAGTCAGTCAGTCATTTAAATAGACATTTATAGTGGCATTTTAGATGCCCTAAGATGTCCCATCTGGCTTTCAGCTGCCTCTGGTGGGAGCAAGCTTTACATAGGTTCTAATCACACATTCAGTCCCATACATGTCTTGGATACTCCTAGGTGTCAAGAACGACACTCAGTGCCTCTATGTAGACAGCTAACTCCCACCCCAACTGCTGAAAGCGAGAGCTGTCAGACCGCAGACTACAAAAAATGACAGAACAGTATTGCAAGACTGAGGTAAAAAACAGTATATAGTTTAATTCCTGAAACAATATAAATAATAAACTAATAATAGCACATAACATCTGGATGGCATATGTAGGATGCTACTAAATATCTATGTAACATGCTTAATGAATTGAGATTGGAGATTCCAAAAATCCAGCCTCAGAAATATCTGCTATGCCTGTTATAGAGCAAAGGCAGTGTAAGAGGGTAATGCCAAAGTAGAGAGCTCTGGTCAGGCTAAGAAAGAGGTCTGTGAAACTATTCTGAGGTGGACTTAGTTTATTACAGTGGCTCAAGCAACACCACACCACCACAAACTGAAAATACTGAGGCTTATCTTTCTCGATAGTTGATAAAAATTAGAAAAAGAACTTGAGTTCTTCAGTACCCATGAAATTCCATGCCTAACTCTCCTTAATGATTATTTAGATTTTATACAGTTAGGAACAATGTAAGAAAGATAAAGTCCTTCGTACCACTGAGGATGAACCTTAAACTTGCCTGACAGCATCTATTTATCTGATCATCACAACAGGCATAGGCAGTTATACTTGCCATAGACAAAACGTTGCAGTAAGCAATCTGTAGGTGGTAAAAGAGAAGTTAACGTTCATTCTACTGCTCAAAACAATGGTCTGTTTAAGTCATATGGCAACAGAAGGTGAAAGGCTGAAATGTGCTGTATTTGTTTTAAATTAGATGCTTATACCAGAGCAGAGGTTGTGTATGAATGGACACGAGAACCAGCAAGGTCAGTGGTGGTGGCTGAAGATGGCTCTCGACTGAACCAATATGATCTGCTTGGACAAACTGTGGACTCTGGAATCGTTCAGTCCAGCACAGGTCTGTGAAAAAGGTTTGCTGGGAAGGGTTGTGGTTTTGCTTTAATGGAAGATCTATAACATCAAAGCAGAATTTAGAGCAAAAAAAGAAAAATTCAAAAAACAACAGATGAAAGAGAGAGAGAAATTGCAATATATGGCTTTTAGGTTAGGGAAACACAGCTCTGAAAAGATAACATATCCTGGGATTATTTCTTACTTTAATTGGTTGTTAAAATATTTCAACAGTTGCAAAGCTTCCTAGAGTGGCGAATCTAACCAGAAAGAAAAAAAAACAGAGCAATCTACGCTGTACAGAATCTTTCCTCATATCTTTATCATATTGTCTGCTTACTATATATAAGAGCATCAGAATATAAGTCCTCAAAAACCATGTTCTGGAGACAGTGGAATAAGATGCTGAAAGTAAGCACGTACTTTCTCATGAAGGTATTTAGAGGGTGAAAAAAAAATTCACTGAATTAAGAAAAAACATTTGGAACATCCAAACATAGCATTTGTGTATCTTAGTTTGTGCCACCAGCTTTAAATCTAAAACTACTAGAAGTGTGGTAGAAAAAAATAACCCACGTTTTCATGCTATTTATCTATATCTCTGAAGCTGGCTTTTTTTTTTTTCCACTTTGCCATTTCCATTTCAAAATATAATCCTTGCGATTTTACTTTAATTACTTTGGAAGGGCACAAAGATCTAAACAGTCATAAGCTGAGCATTGAGGATGAACAAGACCTCACAGCCTTGTCTGGCTTGAATGTTCAATGGACCAGAGAAAAGAACTCCATTACAAGTAACTATGGCTTTGAGAGCCCATGCAGTTGTGTCAGAGCTCAAGAAAAGCACGCCTGCCTAAACTTAACTTTCTAATGAGTCATATGTAAAGTAAGCAGACAGTTAAGAGAAAATGAATTAATGTAATATTAACCCTAATCACTGTCTAATTTATTTGTTATTTAGCTTGTCAGTATTTATTTGTAAGTCCACCTAAGATATAAAATTTATCTTATAAGCATAATATATTTCCAGTGCTCCAATTTTCAAGTTACTGCTTGGAAGCTTCTGTTCAGTACATGTAATTTTAAAAGTAAGTGGAATGGCAGAAATAAGGACTTTGCATAAGAACAATATAAACAGAACTGCTTCCATAGACTTGTTACTTCCATTATTGAGCAACGATTTGCCCATCAGGCAAATAAAAGGAGAGAGAACTTTTGGGCAAGGCACATCCAGAAATGTTCCTGTTGATGTCTGTGGAGCCATTAATTCACCCCACCTGCCCCTTCCTGAAAAGGCAGCCTAATTTGTGAGGGACTGTACGGATCCTGAGCCCTTTGCTCTTTCTGTTCTGAAGCTATTCGCTCAGACCTTGGCACCTTCATGGTCCTTTTGCATTCACCACCAATTCTCTGCTTACCAGATGCATTACCATGGCAGCAATACAGTTAGAAGAGACTCATGAGCTTGGGAATGTACAATACCAGATATAGTTCAGTACTGCGAGAAGCACCATGTAAATTCTGAAGACAGATAATAAATCTTTAAACAGAACTGAAGGCAAACCTAAGAAATGTAAAAACTTGTGTTACATCTTCAATAAAAAACTAGATTATATTTCTTTTGCCCATAATATTTCACAGGATTGAATTCTGTCTCATTTTTGCGCCTGATAGAACTCTTTACCACTCCCATCCTAAAAGCAGTATAGTTAATACTTGCCTAAATAAAATTCTATTGTCTAGATGCAGAACAGGTTTATAAAGAATACAATGGATAAAAGCTAAAAATAAGCCCATAAATAATCTTAGTACCAAATTTGCAACTCTCTTTAGTTAATACTAATAAAATGGTTAATAAATAGGCGGAAGAAACTTGTTTGAAAAGTCAGTGTCTTAAAAGTACTTCTTGACATTTGTTTTCACCAAAGTAGTGGTGGGGATCAGAAGTCAACTTCTGCCCCACTAAGACAGCTGGGCAGCTATCTCACCACAATCCTCCAGCACATCTTTATCCTCTCATCACCTGTTTTAAGACACTCTGTATGTAATGAAAACTGTGAAATCCCTCCGTTTCCAGATTTATGGAGGTTGACTCATGTGACAAAAAGACAAAAGGAGCTGAAGTCAGTCTTCACTAAGAATTCTCAGCATCTCTTTTAGGCGAGAAAACGATGCTCTCACACAACTGATTCTATGGTTCATTAAGGGAAATTTCAAACACTTCAGTGATTTTAAGATATTGATAGTTGTCTGGAATTCTAGACACATATTTTCCAAGAACTTGGGCAGAACCTTAGGTAGGTATTATTGAAAGTATAAATGATTTGATGAAACTGCTATTTTGTTTTGTTTTGTTTTTCCCTTGATAGTGGTCCATCTGCTATGCTCATTTCTGGATCTAGAACAAAATCCTGATTTTTTAATGAAAAGAGATCTGCAATTTCTACTATTAAAAAAAAAAAAAAAACCTGTTTTTCTCAGTCTACTTATTCACTCATGCCACCAATGGAAGAATCTATTCTGTTTCCTTACACGTGCAGGTTCCGCAAGCTTAAATATAGCTTTCAGTAAGCAAACTAGTACTGTTGCTGCCATTTTGCTTAAGCAGGGAGCCAATCATTTTTAAGTTGCATGTGCAGTTTCTGTCACTCTTCAACTATCAAGTCCTATTCAGATGGACTTTAAAATCACATTATTTGCAAGTGCTTGAACAGATGCATAAAGGGCTTGGGAAAATTCCCCATTTGCACAGAATTATTTTGCCACCTTGAAAACATTGTTTTGCATAGAGAAACAGCAGGGTTTGTACTCACTAAATGATATATTCTTTTGGTCTAAAAACCTGCTGAGAGAATACTTCTTAAGAGGGGCTAATTTCTCTTGGGTTACACAGCATAAGAAGAGAAATATTTTGCTTTAAACTAATGTCAAGGAAAGCCTCATTTCTACCCACAGTGATAGGATAAGTATTATTACGGTAAACTCATTTCCCTCATCGAACCTCATGTCTGCATGTCATTAAAATTAATGTGATGCACAGTAAGTTTTGGTGCCCAGCTGATTAACTGGGTTTATTAAAAATAGCTTAAAGAACATAAATAGGTCTGATCTGACTTTTCTGAATATCAGCCATTTCATTATAAGGACACAGGTTAATTTACAATATCTGAACATTGACTCTTAATTGTGAAACATCATAGAATTAAGGGCTGCTTAAATACTGCAGCGAAAGTGCTGAGCACAGACACAAACTCTTTCAGAGCACTGGAAAGACTGAAATGTGAACATGGTTCAAAACATTGGGTTAATGTAAGTGCAGGAGTTGTGTGGCCACTTTCAAAGGTTTCATATTGTATAATATGTGTAAATTATATGTCCTGTAGTTATTTAAATAAGTCTCATTAAATGATCTACAATATTTTAATAAATGATTCAAGTCCATTCGTATTTTGAGGATCTAAAGAAACATCTTTGATTTCTAACTGAAAGCATTTCTAACTGTAAGCATTATTCTAGCCCCGTGCTTTGCCTGATGCACTTCTTGTGGCATTATCTGCCTTCTAACTCAGACCTGTTGTAGCACTGAACTGATGGGAGCAATCCTGGACTTTTTAACTGCCTTCATGCTTTGACTCCCGTTCTCATTTCTAGAGGTTAAAAATACATTCATAATTTAAGCAGCTAAATAAAGTTTTAGAGCAGAGCAGTGTGTTCACTCTATATTCTTAGCTTGCCTTCTATGGTTGCTGAATTAATTCTGGAAAACCATTGTAAGCATTCCATATGAGACTGCATTAAAATAGCTATAGCGATAAAATTAAATTACTGTTTTTTCTAGCTAGGATTGGCATTCTTCCTAAGATTACGATCATTGCTGAAAATTAAAGAACAATGGGTAAAAAGCACATCAACAATCACCATGTTGCTCTGAAAGTTCTATTTTTTTGATAGAATTTTTTCCTTGTATAGCCTTTGCTTTACCTTTAATTTTTAATTGATTCTCTTTTGCCCATTTGCTACTGACTTATATTTTATATTGAAACAGATCAGGAGTATTGCCACATCCTATCTATAAGATTTCCTCAGGGTTATACATTGAGCAATTGCTCAAATGAATGTCCTTCTAGACTTTCTTTTAAAGAAAAGTGCATTTAACATGCTCAGTGTATCAGCAGTCAATGTCTAGACATAGTTTTTCAATCCAATTTAAGCTATTACTGTTCAGGAGCAACAGTCTCTTTTCAAATGCCTGTATTTTAAAAGAGAATAATGGTGATTTCACGTCATCTCTAATCTAGACAGAGGTTTTCATCCAGTTATATTTCCACCTGTTTCATTGCTAAGATAACATCCATTGTGTAAAGAATCAATCTACACTGAACGAAATGTTGTAGCTATAGGTTTTCCAATCTTTTAGGAATATACTGTTCTTCAAAATATGTTTCCAATGATGTTGTAAATAATAGTCCGAAAATAAGGCATTATTTGCTACCGTCTGGAAAGAAAGAATTGTAGAGTTATATAAATGCTAACAATGCCTTTTGTATGTAACTGGAATACACAAATCATATGTTTTTCTAGCACTAAACGCTAACAGTAATGAAAATATTCTATACTATTCCTGCACTGGCCATTTACTAGGCAAGAGAATATTAATTTAGTAAGGTACTGAATTTAGTAGGGTAGGGGTGCTTAATATTCAGAGTAGATAAAGCACACACATTGATAATAGAAACATAACCACATCACAAATTACAGTTTAAGCTTGAAACATTTCTGACTTGCTGTCATCACTTCGTCTTTGGATGATGTTTCCGTGTGCATATTACGGCAGTTTTCCAGCTTCTAATGGAAGGAAATCTTTCACAAGAGGCCTAAACAGCTTCTAATTAATGCAGACGTCCATTCACTACTCACTGGAGATGAAAAGATGCAAATTTAATTAGTGTTTCCTAGAACTGTCTAATTCTGTTATTATTAGTGGAACTTCAGAATTTGCTTTAAATGTTTTCTTCGGAACTGACCCAGTACAATTTGAAGGTTGATTTTTTTTTTTGCTTAATCAGAGTTGTACATATAATGAAAAGTGACTTCATTAATAGTCTCCAGATTTTTGTATTTATAAAATCTTTACAGTTTTTTTTTGTTGTTGTTGTTTAATTTTATTTTAATTTATTTTTAGGGGAATATGTTGTTATGACTACACATTTTCACTTGAAGAGAAAGATTGGTTACTTTGTCATTCAGACTTATCTGCCATGCATCATGACAGTGATACTGTCACAGGTGTCCTTCTGGCTCAACAGAGAATCTGTTCCAGCAAGAACTGTATTTGGTAAGAAAGACTTATAAACTCCTTAAATAAATGTAAGAATTTTTATGGTAAAAGTGATGTGCGCAGAGTGATATTGCAGAAGAGCACATCTGCTGCGCTAGTACAGGCTCAAGAGATAATGTGTTGTTGTGAGATGCACCAGAAAACTATACAAGTTCCAAACCTTTTAAATTAAGAGTAAAATTGGACCTGAAAATATCTTGAACAATCTATTCCAGTTCTACTTTTCCAAAACAGTATATATATGAATGACACATTTCTGATGATGACATGTGACATCCATGATATCCATGGTGGGGACTGTCAGAAAGTTTTAATTAATGGTATTCATCACTTGATGTCCTTGACACCCTCAGCCTCTTTGAACATCTTTAGCTAAAAAATCCCCTTAGTAGGATGCTACTAAACATCTCCTGTTAAAATCAGTGATGATTTATTGTGCTTACAGCAGTGAATAGATGCACTCAATGAACCCAGTAACAAGGGAATCTGAAGGACTCTAACTTTATACAGTTCGTCCCCAGTGCTTTAACCACTGCTGGCAAGCACTTATTTTAAAATTAGAAACAAACAACTAGCATAATCTCTGAAGATAAGAATCAAAGGCAAGTACTTTGTGAAAAAAAGAAGAAAAAAAAAGAAGTAACATACCTTTCAAGGAAAATAGAACCTGATATTTCTATGATGTGACTTAGTCTTTTTTGTGATGTATGGATGGGACACCTGAGCACATTTGACGGGAGGATGCAGAAGAGCACAAAGCCAAGCTGGCTGTCTTAGGGCAGAAGGATGCCATGGGCATGATGCAGAGCAGGAGGGAATTTTCCCAGTGATGCAGCTGGAGAGAGTTACAAGGCCTGATGTTGAGAAACATGCAGACACTGAAACTCTTGTTGATCAAAAGCTGTTTTTATTGACCTTTCTCAGGCACATTTCATAGATATACTTTCGCTTCCCAAAGGCTCTGGAAATAATTCACAGCTTGCATAACCTTAGACCTCATGAACCAAGTAAAGACTTTTTGTAGATATATGGATATGCATTTACAGAAGAACAGTTAAAGCACAAGATAATTACATTTTATTTACATAATGTGATTTAGATTAATGTCTAAAATTACTTCAGAAGTTTTATCACCAACTGCACTGAGAATTGATCTGGGACTTTTATGAGCCTGTGTACTCAAAACTACTGAAGTTGTATCTATTTTATCTCTCTTTGCACTTGCCATTTAAAAGGAAATGTCAGGTCAGCATTTTGCAGTGCCATACTTCATTGTCCCTAGATAGAGGACAACATTTCCTAGTCTTACAGTGAATAATACATAATACTCCATGATCTCCAGCTGCTATCTTGAGAGCTCAAGAACCCATGTACTTTTGCAAGTTCTCCTTTTAGAAGACAGTTATTTAGTAAACAGTGTTGTGTTTACTCCATCATTATGTATCCAGATAGGTGATTTTTCCACTTCCTAATGGCAGTAAAAAAAAACATCTCAGGATATCTCGCATGAACAAATGCATACAAAAGCACATCTTACATCTTTTAGCCCACTTACTATCACAGATAATATAAATTATAAATCCTGCTTTGCACAAGAGAAACATAAGCTTGCTAATACTGAGTCAGATTAGGTTGTCTCTCAGGGATGGGAAATTGCTTCTTCACTAGGCACTAAAATTTCAAGCTCTTTACACTAGTATGTAAATACACTGTTCATAATTTGGCCTATTTTAAACCACTGCACATTCTCACTAACATTCAGTGCAGCAAAGATGAACTTGCAAAAAACATTCAATACAGGATACTGCAATTGTCAAGGTAGCTTGTGGACACATGATTTGATGTAAATGTCCAGCCTACGCTTGCAGATTTTGCAGAGTGAGTTCAGTACAGCCCTACCACCGCCAGTGAAAGCTCCATGGGGATCTCAAGTGTCATCAGCTATGGGAGCTCTGATATCGCAGATGCAGATAACATTCTTATTGTTCTTAAGTAAATTCTGTGCTATTTTTGGAGCATCAGGGAACATTGCAATAATATGAATTTAAATAAATTTAATGCTACATAAAGCTTAGAGAATTTATCTATGAAGGAACATATACTTCATAAACAATTTTAGTATTAACAATAACCAGGCTGAGAAACAAAACCAATAAGCTTTTAAGTTTTATGTTTAAATATATTAAAACTACCAGGAGAAGTACACATGTGAGTCGATGTATTTTTATGGCAGTTTACACAGTTTGGGTAAGGAAGAGCAATGATGATACCTTATGCTCCATGAAGCTTTAAGTATTATCCAGTCCAAAACTTAAAAAATAATTTACATCCCCATTTAAAAATTACTATTGTACTAAAACAACTTGAAAAAAAAAAGTATAAAACTGATGTTTCAAAGATCCCACAACTTCTACAGAGTTGGAAACCTGATATCCTGAGATAGCAACTGAATTTAAGTGGAGAGGTCCATAAGAATGATGGGTGCAGATGAGGGTTTCCTATCTATCGTAGTAGTTGAGAACTGAAGTGCAAAATAAAACTGCTGATACGAGGACAAAACCTGTTTGTTTTGCAGGAGTGACAACTGTCCTAACAATGACCACGCTGAGTATCAGTGCGAGGAATTCACTCCCTAAGGTGGCTTATGCCACTGCCATGGATTGGTTTATAGCTGTGTGCTATGCCTTTGTGTTTTCTGCACTCATCGAATTTGCAACAGTGAATTACTTCACAAAGAGAGGTTACGCATGGGATGGCAAAAGTGTTGTTCCTGAAAAGGTAATGCCACTTAATATCTACTCCAACAATTCACATTATGTCACACACTCTCTCCATATATTTTTAATAGCTGTTTGTTTTTTTTTTAATTTATTTGATTGTTTGTTTTTTGAGGGAAGCCAATTCATTCTGTAGGGCTGGAGCAAGATAAAGTGTCCATGCCTTAGTATATATGTGGAGGAAAATCTTGTGGCTGCTGTATTTGAGCTTCCGGAGTACATTGCTCCTCAACTTAAAGAGGATTGCCAATGATAATGATCAATCAATCAATCAATGCATGGCTTTTTCTTGCCTTTGCCTACTATCATTTCCCTGTTTTTTAAAAATAGAAATATTGTTATTTTTAATTCTTAGCCTATATATGAAATTAGGTTGTTTCAGGAGTCAGTAACCCTGATCCACACCTCCCTCAGGGCAAAGGAGGACATCAGTTTGTCTCCTTGTAGGGATCAGACTGTCTGTAAGTCACATATGCATCAACAAATTGTTGCGGATGTACAGGGAATGAGTTTCCTATTTCCTATGAAATATCATGTGAGCTCCTTTTGTGAGGAAGCTCATTTTGGTTATTTAAGAGATCTTGAAAGAGACTTTTAACTTGCCTAATTGCTTATCGCCTAATTGCTTATGAACATTCACAGATTAGAGAATCAGCAGAATAAATATTTGGAGGAGCAGATGTTACTCATTGGTATGCGAATATATGTGTTTAACTCAGGAATGTACAGATAGGATATATAAATATTCTTTGTTGTACTGTTTCTTCTATTTTTGTTGTGCAAGTCATTCAGTGATAAAATAGAAATAAACTCTGAACATTTACACAGTGACAACCAGCCATAAAAGCATCGTAGAACAAAATGAAGCAATTAACTTACAGATTTGAGTGGTGTTACTGCTGGTCAATATTTTCAGTTACTGATAATACCTCCATTGAAAGTCATTCTTTTCTGTTTCTCTGTGCTTTTATCCACATTACAGCTATTTTTTAAAGAACGAGTTATTTTAATAGAAAATATTAAATATTAATTATTCCTATTTTAATACTATCTACCTACTAACATAAGTAACTATAACCAGCTATTTATTTCAAAGAAAATTAAATTTTCATACCAAATAAGAAAAAAAAAGAAAAAAGAAAAAAAAGACAAACCAGAGCAGTAAAAGCACAATATTCAAATGCTGTCTGAAACATTGGAGGATGTACGATTTTACATTCACTAGCAGGTAAGGGTCTTCATTCTTGCCTTCGTTATAGGGCAACAAAGATATGCCACTACCCAGTAAAGCGTGTTATCTGCAGACATTAAAGCAAGCAAAGCAAGCTAACAGCAAACAAAGCAACACAGATTAATAAAGTTTAGGGCTCCTCTTGGCTGCTCTGTTTTCATTAATTCAAATTTGACATAAAGTGTCAGGCCCCTGATTGGTGTCAGGGCTTCCTGTGGATCAGATTCCTCATGAAATTTGTATCTGTAGGCTGAGTGTCCCCTGACTCTTCTGCAATCTGGTTCTTCGACCTGCTGGATTTAGAGCTGCTCATTAGCACATCTTGCCGATGGGGAAACAGTACAGGCTTCATACCAAGCATGTCAGCAGCCCTCCTGCTCAGGAGGAGAGAAAAGACAGGCAACCAGAAAGCCTTCTGACTTGATCTTTTTTCTTTTCTGAGTATTTTTTTTTCAGTTGTTTGTTTGTCTTACTCAGCAGAGATATTCTAAGATGTTTTGAAGCTTTTCCTGAGCCTCAAGCTACAGTGAATATTATTGTCTTGAAACAAAGAGCATCTGCACCACAGGCACTATCCGAACCCCTTTCCTATGAAGGAACCAATTTAACATTTCATCAGTACGTGTTTCCTTCCTGATTGGGGCTCAGTGTCATGCTTCAACACGCTTCTTCCCACGTGCCCTCATGCTTTTGCAGCTTTCCTGCACATTCTCAGGTGTCCTTCAGGAACCTTTGTGTTCACCTCCTTAATTTTTTACTTATAAACTAAAACCGCCCTGCCTCCCCAGGGCCTTGCCCATTTAGCTATTAAACTATAGTCAACCTATGACAAATAGCACTGTAACTATCTTAAAAAGTATTTCCTCTCTGGGACAGGTGCATCTTGCTAACAGATAGTTCTATTTGTTATTCTGTGAAATGATGCAATAAAACCACTCCTACTATTTTTTCTTGATCTGTATTATCATCTTCCTTTTAGAGGACAACATGGTCAACATTCGCTTTTCTTCCCCCCTCAGCAAATACTATGATGGAATCCTAATGATTTTCCAAGCTGTTGGCATTGTTAACTCTTTTTGTTTCCTGATAAGTAGTTTTTCTTCACACCTCCCACTGAAAAACATTCAGTATAGACTTGCTTTACAACATGAGTGGCTGCAAAAATCATGTGGCTGCTGAAAACCCTTTCTTCAGAATGTAATTTCAGCCATTACAATCCAATTGCAACATTCAAGTAGGAACTGAAAATTTCTCTCTTTAATTCATATGCTTCTGGTGTATATCCTTAGTATAAAAATGATTGGTTTGGTGTGTTTCCAAATAATCCACTTCTTTGTGTCACGGTTACATATTTTTATTGTATATTTTTAATATAAGAATTGTGTCAGAATGAATCATAAAAACACTGTTTGTCTTAATATTGGAAAATTACATTAAGAAATTCAGTATCTTTTAAGGTTCTTATGCTGGTCAAGTGGCAGAGTTGATTAAGGGAACGTTGAATTATGAATGGTTCATCACTGCTCATTACCATTAAAGATCATTTTGTCTAACAGTGAGCCTAGCTACCAGGGTAAGTCTTCACTATCCATCATATACTTCAGTTTAAGTGATACAAATAATCTAGATGAGTGATTCTGCCCCTGTCTTCATCTAAGTATTTTGCATGAGTCGTGTACCCCAACATTACCTTCTTACTTACAGGTTATCACAACTTGTGAAATAAAGTTAACTTGAAGCAAAATTTGATTGTGCTTTTTTTAGTATGTTATCTACTGAGAAGCCAATAGGAATAAAATATTTTCTTCTTTCTTTAGCCAAAGAAGGTGAAGGATCCTCTCATTAAGAAAAATAACACGTACACAGCTGCAGCTACAAGCTACACCCCTAATATTGCAAGGGACCCTGGGCTGGCAACCATTGCTAAAAGTGCAACGATAGAGCCCAAAGAAGTTAAGCCAGAAACGAAGCCTGCAGAACCCAAGAAAACTTTTAACAGCGTCAGCAAAATTGATCGGCTATCAAGAATAGCTTTCCCACTGCTTTTTGGAATCTTTAATTTAGTCTATTGGGCTACCTATTTAAACCGGGAGCCTCAGTTAAAAGCCCCGACTCCACATCAATAACCTCATTTATTCATCTAGCTCTGTTTTGTCTTTTGCTCTGGGAATTGCTTCCAGTTTTCACATACAGTAATTCCCGTTTGGAATATCATAAAGGTTTCTTCATTTAACCAGAAGTAAAATATATCTGTATATTTAAGAACCCTATATACAAGGGAGAAAACAATATAAGCTATGTAACTTTGGGAAACTGATTCTTAAAAAGGGAAAGAAAGTTCTAGTAATGGGAAAAAAAAAAAAAGGCAAGCATTTGTAGATAGCTTAATACTGAATGTCCCCAACATATATTGTATATGTACATGAAAAAGATATTTTTATTCAATGGATTGTGAGGAGCAGGAAAATATTCTTTTTGATGTCCATGTTGCACATACTACACTGCACCACTTTTTCAGTCACTGTTTATAATCTTTTCAAGGATTTAAAGCTTTCCGTTTGCTGAATCCCATAAGTTATTTTCCTATTCCTTTTTCCCTTCTATATTCCAAAAGACCTAACTTAAAATATTAAATGATTGTTAAAGAAAAATTACTCACTGTAGATACAGTTCATCACTGTATAGCACATAAGATCTAATGGTGAAAAATGCTTTAATCTGCTCTCTTACTGCAGTCTTGTTCTAAGCATTAAGTTGTTACTAGACTAGATTTTAAACCAGTTGCACAATCAAGTGCAGATCCCAAGTCCCTCTTTCTCCTGTGTAATCCAAACAAATCCCAGATGCTTTTACAGATAGCTTTTACTCATCACTGTTATAGAGTTTAAAAAAAAAAAAACCAAAACACAAATTTTGCAAGCTCTAGATATGTTGAATGTATTCTTTTATAAAATGATACATTAAAAAAAGCTTTAGGATGAAATTTATGGATAGCAGAAAGACAAAATATAGTATTTAAATAATATATGTAAATATGCAGCATGAGATTGTACATTTTTCTTATTTTCTTTTTCTTTTTTTTTTTAAAAAACTTTTTAAAAGTTTAGTTCTTAAAACATTGTTTAGACGTCACCTCTTAGCTCTTAATATGTTGTTAAATGCTCAATAAAACATATTTAGAGCCTAGATAAAAAAAATCATTGGCATTGGAAAGTCTAAAAAATAGATAGGAAGTGCTTGGAATTAATTCCATTTGTAAAGTGGTTAAGTGTACAGTAACTTGCAATTTGACAATGTCATCCAATGTTTACTATTAGATTAATGACTGGTCTGCTCAGGTCATGCATAAATACTAAAGTATGGGATTATATTTGGTAGGTAGAAATGGTGAAATATTTGCTAAGACAGAAGTTCATCTGTATATTACTGCTATATTTGCCGATACACAACTGTTACAATAAGTGATGTAATATATGTAGCATTAAATACAAAAAAGTCATACAGAAAAGAATGTACAGGAAAATAGATTTTATTGAGTAAACTTATAACATTTCATTTTTACTGTAGCAATATATTTGTAGGAACAATATGTAAGGGCTTTAAATACAAGATGTCCATTTTGCAGGTATTGTGCTCCCTTAAAAACAATTCTAGTCAGTATCACTATTGCTGATTGTTAGAAATAAAATTTCAGATAAATCTTTTTCAAAGAGACGGGAATAATGGTGAGTGTTGGCAAGGATCAATTAAAAAACCACAGCACACTGTACTGAGTCAATTTTGAAGAAATGCTACATAAGTCTCTAGAGAAACAGCTAATCAAAGTTAAATTTCACAGTCATATTTCAGGCAACGTTTTATAAGCCTCAACAAGTCAGAAGGTTGACGCTCTCTATCTACAAAAGGAAGTAGTTAATGTTTTATATGTTCTATTTAGTTGTTTTCTTTTTTTTTTTTCTTTTTTTTTTTAATAATGCTTCATTGTCTAACATCTAGTCCTGTCTAAACTTGATAAGTTATCTGATTGGAGCTTATTAAAGGGGGATGTTTTCATCTTCTGACATCATGTGTAGATATATGTATAGAAAAAAATAAACTATGGCTCTTTAACTTCAGTGTACTTGTTTATCTTGTTATTTTTGGCGTTTAACTAGTGTGTTCATTTAGGACATTTTATCCTTCTAGTAATTCATAGCTACCTTTTGGTCTGCATTTTGCACATTAGATGTGAATATTACTTAACTAGTCTGCTTTTTGCTATGCAATGACTGCATTATATCACCTCTTAGTTTGTTAGTCTATGCCAATAGTATTATACTGTACAAACTTGATTGCAGAGTTTATCAAAGACAAGGTATTCTCTATGTAGCTTTTTTACAGTGCTTTGCTAAACCATGTAATAATAGTAAGTCTTCCTTGAAAATAATGATACACTCTTATAGAGGACAGTTTGTTTACTCCCGGGATAATTTTAAAAAGATGACATTGAATGTTTATTGCACCTCAGTGCAGTGATGTGGCAATAAAACCTAAATCTAATAGAGGTTGTTTATGGCAGAAGCATGTATTGCTTTACAGAGTTTAGCAAAAGCTCTTTATTTTATGTCAGACTGTAATTCTATTACAATAATAAAGCTAAAAATAATGAAAGTAAATGTTTTACTTTGGTTTTCTTTAGTTACTTTTTTTTTTTTTTTAAACAACACATCACTTTATGAACTGCTATTCATTGAAAAGTATAGTTTCATTTGATAAAGAATGCAGTTTAATGGATGTAGTTTTCTGCTCAGTGTTTTCAACAACAGGACTGTTTCTGAAATCTGATTTGACATTAAAAAAATATTGCTCAGTCTGTATAATGTGCACCCACTGAAACAATAACTCAAATCAGATTAATAACTGGTGAGGTTAAGTACAGTGAGCATGATACAGGATAGGAAGAGAACGAAACACACTATGAAATACAGCTAAAATGGCAGATAAACCAGAGAAGAAGAGTAAAAACTGGGATTTTTTTTTTTCTTTTTTAAATTAGAGATGTCATAGAAATACAGATCTAAGAAAGACTGTTAGGATGGACCTTAAATTATATAAAATAATACTATTTCACTTATTTAATGAGTTCTGGGAATAGCATTTAAACAAACGTACGCATAGCTAGAAAATATTAATTCAATGCAGAACACAGAGGGAAAGCCATTCCAGTGTATTCAACCCTCCAATTTTCTTGGGAAAGTTCCTGGCAGCAAGGCTCATGCTTTTAGACAGAGAAACAATGAGTGGCAGACGTAATTCTGAAGGATCCAATGCATGAAAGGCTCTCATAAGTGCAAGTGTGTACACAGTTATATTTAGAGTGATCTTCAGTAGTGACTTCCACAGGAAAAAAAAAAGTCACCACAAAGGAAAGAAAGCTTGTATTAACACAGGCACAAATTCTGTTACCTTACTCTGGTTTTCTCTACTTTGAAGAACAGTGCAGTCCAAATACTTGTTTCTTACCTCCTACTGATAACTACATGGACTTTGAATCCCTATGGAAACCCACACAGGATTTTCTGGAGAAGCAGGGAAATGGCAAGTGACACTAAACACCCACCTCCTACGTTCATATGCTAGATAGAGAGTATATATGAGGACTCTCACATCTCCTTTGTCACTGCTCTAACATTCTTGGGTAGAATTTTACTTATGTAAAATGAGTGAAAATGACTAGATGCAACAGGAATTGACTGAGTAAAGCGTATGTAGCACCTTTCAGCCTCACAGAGTGAAGAAGAGCCCTGTCAGAGGGGAGGTTCAGTCAGCAGGCAATCCAGCATGACATCCTGAAATGGAGGTGCTCTGTGATACTACATAAGGAGGAGAAAATCCTCCAGTTCTTCTGGGATCATCCCTTGATGGTACTGCAAGAATGCAAGGGAACAGTTTGATGTGAAAACTGATAGTGCCTCACACTTTCTGTAAATAGTAGAATACAAAATGCTGTGTCAGAAGCCAGCTCTTGGGGAAATGAAGATGATGAAGGATCCCTGTATGTCAAGAGCAGTATTACCTAACCATAGGCTATAGAAAGACTTCTTTAGACAAGCATTCTGCTGGCTTGATCTTCCTGGGGCTGATCACAGTATCAGAATCACAAGTGGTAATTCACACAACTACATTTAACAGCATGATGTTACATCACGCTGAGTAAGACAGGCTGAGCAAATAAGTGCTTCACTTGGTGTAAGAATGTACAGCAGAAGCATCCTCCAGCAAAGAGGTAACCCTTTGGTTCAGCAGTCCAAGCATTCAAAGTGTTAAAGATTTCATGCAGTCTTAGTAGCAGAAATGGGTGTATTAGGTGTGCATGCACTTATTCAAAAGTTCAACAAAGGAAAAGAAAATCTTTGACTTTCCGATGGGATCTTTTACTCCCCTCCCCCCCCCAGTTTTTTCTTTAATCTCCTTCTATTTTCTACCAATATGGTAAACAATAAGAGCTTATGAAACACCCTAATGGCCAGAAAATGGGGCACGCATGCTTCAGGGAGCAAATAATAAGAGAACTTCTTTCAGCCTGTGCTTTGTATCTGAATGTCCAAATAAATTAGCGTGACTGGGGGAAGTCTGACTTTCTTAGAGGCTTGAAAAATAGCAGTCACACTTATAAAAACCTCAAGATCTCCTCAGACTTTTACTAGCAGATCCACATGGAAAAACAAAACAAAAACCACAAAAAGGTCCTCCTGTGCATAAAAACAACACAGCTTAAATAAAATGAGTTTTCATTCTTAGCACATAAATTTTGCAAGTGAAGTACATTGTCAGCTCGTCAAGCTGTAGCTGTCAGGTTACATCTGATTACAAATCACGCCAAATACAATAAGAGAGGCAAAAGCCTCCCAATGCCAAGTTTCTATAGGCTTGCTCACTCTGGTTACAGCGGCATCCAAACAGGCAGGATGACAACGTGGCTGCTGAAGTCGTCTGATTACACAGCTCTAGGGCATCTGAAGATGCAGCAAGCAGATTCTGTGCTTGCAGTACAGCTGCCTGTTACACGAATTTCACCCAAAGACTAGAGACATTTTCTCTCAAAAACCTGCAGACCAAACTAGCAAATAGGAATGATTTGTTCAGT